CCCTCCCTCCCTCATGTATTTCTGATATTCATTACCGCTAATGATTCCACCTTTTATTTTTTCCTCCTTCTCTCCCTCTCTCTCAATCTCTTCAACTCCCACGAACATCGTACTTCATAAAGTAATCCATAAATGACATTTCCGCAAATGAAGGGTCGCGGTGGTCGTACAGATACCGTCGTGTCTCATAAAAAAGAGAAGGTTCAAGAGGTACTTCCAGCACCGCCATCGCTTCCTTCTGTTGCCGCTGCATCTTCCTTCTGCTACCACCATGATGCCTCTTGTTCATTGCCTCGTACTGCGACATGATATCCTCTGAGAGTTGTTTGTAACTTTTGCAAGGCACACGATGGGCGAGGGACCAATGGGCCCGTTGACACGCCGCATCGCAGTAATACACCGCCTTGCAGCTGCCACAACGCAGGAGTGCATTATTATTATCGTTATCGTTATTACCGTCACTGCCACTGGCAGCTGAAACGCGTTTTTCACAGTGGGCACACTGCAAATGGCTGCAGCGGGAGACAAGTGGAATGAGGTGCTGAATTGTTGTGGAGGCATCGAGGAACATTAAGTCCTGCGCCTGATTCATGCGCTCGGGTGACCACACAACGGCTGCCTCCGCCCCATCCCCATGCGTCACTTCTGGCAAAGCTAACAAGATGTCTTTCAACGCAATTCGCACATCCTCGTCCGGCTCACGGATCCCAAAAAGTTCTTCATCGTCCGTGCTGCCTGCATTCCGCTGCCGCTCAGCCCGGCGTATGGTCAAGTGGGCGGTGCCAGCCGTTAGCGGCGATGCCGATGAGGAAGACGCCGCGGCCGCTGCTCCCTCCGTTTCTTCCTCGCCAATGAGCTCCTGCACCGCTGGCACAAACCATGGCAGCCGTGCAAGAAACTCCAGGTTGGCCCGCGCGTAGTGGTTGATCTTCTGCACCACTTCCCGCATTGGGGAAAGAACCGACATGGTACCAAAGACATTTTTTTTGTTGCCACCTGCGCGAAGTGGCGTGAGGTTCTCGAGGCGGCATAACTCGCCCAGCAACGCGACTGTATCCCACCGACACTCATGTGCTACTGTACTGTTGCGCTGAGCAAGAAAGAAGGCGATACTCTTTATCACTGCCTCTCGACGTCGTCGGTTTGCCTCCAAAACTTCGCCAACCTCCGCACTGTGGCCCTCGGTACTGGTATCGTCGCCAATCGACACGGTCGGGTGTAGTGGCGTATGCTCAAACAAAAC